ACACCTTTTGTCATCATAATGCAAATGTGCCGCGCAAGAGAGTGGAGAGGTAAATATTTATTTTAATGCACAAAATTTTTTCAGTAATTTATTTATAATTGATACTTGAATCGAAAATATTATTGATAAAAATTGTCTATTACAATATTTTGTGCATTAGGTGATGTTCAAATAAGCACGTCAAAGGATGTGACCATGATCATTGGTGTAGATATTCCCGAAATTGAAGATTTTCGGAGAACGTATAAATTATTTATTATCTAATATACCAAATTTATCTAATATACCATATTTAATTGTTAATTGTATTTCCTTATATTATATCTTACCGTTTGTAATCTACATTCTACCACAAGGTTGGCCATGAGTAAATTTAAGGATACCAAATTGGTTTCAAGTAGCTCAATCATTGTGAAGATTGAACTACAAGGATTTGATGATGGTGACATCGTTGTTTGTTCTGTTGATGTTCTATTTGCGTATGTTGAGGTAATTATCTAATAATCTAATATTCCAATACTTAATATTTTGAATTTTTTAATAATACATTAAATGTATAATGTCCTAAGTCATGGTAATTATTATTTATGTGTATTAACTTCGTAGGAAGTGGACATGTGGGTTTGCGCAAGTGTCGATTCCATCATTGATGATTGGTGGTATCTTGCATGTGTTCGATGCAATTCCTCGATGGAGGATGACAATGGCAACTATGCATGCCGGAAGTGCACTCATAATCGTGACACATTTCGGTTTGTTAATATTAATTTTTAATTAATTAATAACAACTTTAATCATAAATTGTTTCATGTGTAGCTATAAAATTCAATTTAGTGTTTCTGATGCTTCCTCAAGTGCAACCTTCGTTTGTTGGGATAAAGATTGTCAAAATATGATTGGGAAAACTTGCGATGTTTTGAAACGTGAATTTGCCCAAAAGGTAAACTCGGTTTTACCTTTTCTATTTAAACTTATTATTAATATTAATTATTAATCTTACAAATCTTACAAATAAAGGAAATAATATACTTGTAATTTTTGTTGAATCTTACAAATCTTACAAATGTATAATCTTACAAATCTTACAAATGTATAATCTTACAAATCTTACAAATGCACCAAACGATTTCCTAAGAAGTTTGTTGAATCCACAACAGTTGACGAAGAGGGTTATCCACGGTATAGGCGTCGTGACAATGGAACTTCTCTTGAAAAGAATGGTATTGTTGTCAACAACGGTTTTGTCGTGCCTCATAACCGGCGTCTGCTTATGAAGTTTGGAGCGCATATTAATGTTGAGTGGTGCAATCAATCACGATCTATAAAGTACCTATTCAAATATGTCAACAAGGGTAACGATCGTGTGACGGCATCATTTTATCAAACTTCTGCTGATTCGGACATTGAAAGACCGTTGGATGAGATAAAAATGTATTACGATTGTCGGTACATATCGTCGTGTGAGGCGTCATGGCGGTTGTTCGGTTGGGAGTTGCAGTACAAAAAACCTCCCGTCCAGCGCTTGAACTTCCACTTATTTGGAGAACAACAACTATTATTTGACGATGATGGAAATCTTCTAAACGTTCTCCGTAAACCCACTATTGATGAGAGCCAATTTCTTGCGTGATTCGAGGCAAACAAACAGTATCCTGCAGCGAGGGAAATAACTTATGCTGAGGCACCGTCCAAGTTTGTGTGGAATACAACGATAAAGGCAGTGGACTCCTCGAAAAAATGAGGACCTACCCTCCGTAGGTCGTTTGCGGTACGTACCTCCCGGTTGTGGAGATAATTATTACTTGCGATGTTTGCTCCCTGTTGTGCGTGGGGTAACATGTCATGACTATATGAAGGTCGGTGATGTCCAATATCTGACATATCGTGATGCTTGCTATGAACGGGGTTTGTTAGAGGACGATCGAGAGTACGAAGATGGCATGATCGAGGCAAGTCAGTGGGCATCTGCAGACTCCCGTAGACGCATGTTTGCATCTTTGTTGGTGTCCAGTTCTTTTGATAGACCAGATGACGTATGGAATAAGTGTTGGCAATATATGTTTGATGACATCCTGTACAGACAATGTCGACTTTTCAATAACGATGGTACTAAATGTTTTCATATATCAATATCAATTTTAATAAATATTCAATTTCAAGTTTATATACAAGTAGGAAGATTTAATTTCAATTGTTTTGATCTTTGTTTATGTGTCTGGTTTGATAGATTTGCATCTTACTGAGGAGAAAATTCAAAACCTAGCCCTTGCTGAGATTTGAGGCTTTATTGAGACGTCGTGGTACAAGTTTTCGAGAATATTCTCCTATGCCATTTCTTAGACAGGGATAGCATGCATTCAACTTTGAATTGTCTGATATTAGATGAGTTGAATTATGATCGAAAGGCCCTCACTATTTAACATGATACGCTTCTTCAAAACATGACTGATGAACAGAAGATTGTCTACGCCAAAATTATTTCTGCTGTTGAATCAGGCCAAGGCGGTGTGTTTTTTGTATACGGTTATGGTGGAACTGGGAAGACGTATTTGTGGAGGACTTTATCTGCTGGTTTGAGATCCAAGGGTAACATAGTCTTATGCGTCGCATCTAGCGGAATAACATCGCTTTTGCTGCCAGGTGGAAGAACGGCGCATTCCCGATTTGCTATACCATTGAATCCACACCAGGAGTCTACTTGCGACATCAATCAGTCGACCTCTAGCGGAATTGATTATTCGTGCTTCTCTTATAATATGGGATGAGGCTCCAATGATGCACAAACACTGCTCCGAAGCTGTACAGACATCTCTGCAGGGTATTATGGGAGTAATTGACTCCTCAAACAAGGACAACCCGTTTGGCGGGAAAGCTGTTGTTTTTTGTGGAAATGTCCGACAAATCCTTCCTGTCATTCCAAAGGGTAGCCGTCAAGACATAGTTAATGCTACCATAAATGCTTCTGACCTATGGAGAAGTTGCACTGTCCTAAGGCTTACAAAAAACATGCGTCTCCGCGGACTTTCAGATTCGAATGAACGTGATGAGCTCGCTCGGTTTGCGGATTGGATAGCCAGCATTGGAGATGGAACTATAGGGGGGTCGAATGATGGTTGTGCAATGATTGACATACCCGAGGATATTTTGCTACAGCCATCTGATGACCCTATTGCTCAAATTGTTGAAAGCACATATCCAATGTTTAAGGATGCAACAGACGATCCAAGTTATTTGAAGGACAGGGCTATATTAGCGCTGACTTTGGATGTTGTCGATTCTATTAATGAGTACATGACGTCGTTGAATTTGTCGGATGGCCGTACGTACTTGAGCTCTGAAATAAATAATTATTTAATTGCCGAATAAATTAATTATTTAATTTTGACACAAATGAATATATATTAAATAAAATAAATAATATTTCATAAAAATATTTTTTAGAATTCTAAATAATATTAAAAAAATTACTTTTTTCTTAATTATTTATAATTTTTTATTTCACAATAAGAATTTTAATTCATTTTCACTTTTTGTTGGACAACTAGTTTTTTATGAAATACTCGTGTAGTTCACGGGTGTTGTACTAGTAGAGAATAAAACAAGATGAGATTAAATAGTTTTTTTTTTTTTTCTATGTAGAAATTTTCTATTTTATCTTTTGACTTGAAGAATGAAACAAAATAAATCTTATAACCAACGTCACCCGTGTTTCTGCTTTCGAGAAGTTGGATTATTAATTTATTGACGTTCATTTACCATGTGAACAGTTTTATATTCTGTAATGATATTAGTAAACTCTGAGATTGAAATGAAAGTTGCTTCTCATAAATATTATCCATTTGCTTGTAAACAAAAATGACTAATCATCTAGAACCTGGTCAATTAGACACGCTTAATTAGTTCTTTTGCGTCTATTTTATTTCTACATTTTATCGAACAATAGTCACACGTATATGTGTTACTAATTGCCAATTGGTACATAAATGCATAATATATTATGTGTTGCCAAATTCAACAAACTTTTGCCTTTAATAAAAATTATGTCATAGGAGCTTCTAGTAATATTATTGATCATGCTAATTTTAACACAACCCGAAAGTTTTATTTTAATATATTTCAAAATTTATAACTTTGAAAATTTATGAGGAAAACTATTTCAGCATAATTAAAACTAAATATTCCACAATTAAATACATGTATCTAAGGGCCATGAGTTATATCATTTGGTCTAATCATAAGATTTTCAGTTTTTATATGGTGCAGATTCCATTTTTTTTTTCTTGGTTTACAAAACTTTGTGGCTGTCAATTCTTTTTTAGGATACGGATTTAAAACTTGTCCCAATCAACATAGAACAATTTCATTTTTATATTAAAATTAGCTAAAAAAAATATTCTAAGCACCCCTGAAATCAGGCACTAACAGATATAATATTTATTTCTTTATCTATTTTATTCATTGACCATTTCATTTGAATCATTTCTAAGATTATGTAATTCTTTTTTTCAATTGTTTGTGATTACTATAGTGTGATTATGAAATTTGGTTAAATTTGAATTTTTAATCAGTTGCAGGTTGGATATGCTATAATTCTATGAATGATGAACCCATATGATTACTCTTCTGATAATAGAGTGAAATCTTATTAATATAATTCATACTTTTTTTTAATCTTAAATATTATTTAAAATAAATACCGCAATAAATTGTTAGCAACAAAAATTATCAATACTAATCAATTGTATGGAATGATAGCCAAACAAAACTAATTATATAGGTTAATCACATGATCATAATTCATCTCAAGGCACACCCATCATTGTCTTCAAAAGAAGAGAAA